CTACGACTACTACTACTACTACTACTACGGTACGTCCGTACTACTTAGTACGTGCTCTAACGCTACTCGTACTCGTACGTCGTACTACTCTCTTCTCTCTTCTCTCTCTCTCTCTCTCTCTCTCTCTCTCTCTCTCTCTTTCTCTTAATTTTACACAAATAAAAAAAAATATTTTTCTCTCTCGTTCTCTCTATTCTTCCTTGTTAGGGCACTTTTTAGCTCCAGTTCTCTCATCTGTTTTGATTTTTGTTCTTTTTCTCTTTGGGATTCACAGGGTGGGTTGCTTGATTTATTGAGGAATTGTATCTAATGTGACCCATTTTACCCTTTATCCGATTATCTCCTCGCTATTTCTTTTGACATTTCCTCTCCCTTGTTTTGAGTGCTTTTAGGGACTAAGGATTGGGTTCTTGGTAGGGTTGAGTAATTATGCATGTTTGAAAACGAGTGCTTTTAGCGAGTAAGGATTGGGTTCTTGGTAGGGTTGAGTAATTATGCATGTTTGAAAACGATTGCAATTTGGATTTATGGGATTATTCTTGCTATCCTATTTTTCTTTTGGGACTTTCTCTTGAGACTTTCTATTTCTACCTCTCTTAGTTTTCTCCTCTTTTCTGGAAATTAAGGGATATGGTTGCTGGAGCACTTGAATAGTTGCATCTTTTGTGAAAAGACTGTGATTTCAATTTATGAGGTTATGGTGATACGCCTAGCATTTGGAGTAGTGTTTATGGTGTCATGGTCATGGGTTGACATTTGAAGTTCTGTGGCATCTATTTGACAAACTCTTTGAGATGTTTACTAGGACTTGATCAATGGAGATAAGGCATTCCATTGATTTTATTATCATTATGAGTAATTTTGGTTCAGGTTTTTGTATTTTATAGGTTTTCTTTAAGCAATCATCTTAGCTGGAGATGAAATGCTGTTAGGATTTCTGGGGAGTTTTCACATTACCACGACTGCTGTTTATGTTCTAGTGACTTACATTGCCAAATTTATGTGTCATGTGATATCATGTAGCGGAGAGAGTGAATCATCTGTTGTGGCATCATAAGTTCACATGGAAAATTTGGAGCTTTTTTTTTGCAAATGTTTGATTTTGACATATTGGATGGTGTTGGCTTCACTTGCTGCCAGTGACTTAAAACCCAGACTCAGTTTGGGACTCGCTGCGGTCTTGAGACTTGCCCAAGTCTCAATTCAAGTCATGGAGTTTTAAAGCATTGCTTGCAACATTCATCACTAACTAGTCATCAGGCCCACTGCATGAGAGAGTTTGCTTTCCATGGAAAATATGTTTGCTTGGCTGTCTTATGGTGTCTACAGTGAGGAACCCTTTGACTCATGGAGGATATTACTTGCATCGGGAAAACCTGTCTGTTTGCATTATAGTATTCATCATCTCTTGGGTGCTATCAATTAGAAATTTCATGGTTCAAGGATAAATGACTTGGTTCACTATTTAAGAGAGATTATACATGGAAGCTATAAGACCCAAGATTGAGCACAATGAAACCCAACTTCTATTGCAGCTCTTGGGGTCCCCTGGGCCGTCAGCAGTGTTGTTACGCAAATACACGCTCAAACCTAGAATGGCTGGTACCTAGTTGCCTTCACTCCATATGAGGGCTTATACCCCTTTGGTTTTCTTCTCAAGTCCTTTTGGGGCTTTTGATAGCAGGACTGGATGCGTGAGCTAATTTACAGAAGTGCCACATGGAGACTAGAAGTCATTTAAGATGAGATTTTCCAATTGTGAGGCTTATTGATGTGCTACTTTTTGCATGTTCCTAGTTGCCTATGAGTTGGTTGGTTTTTTTTCATAGGGAAGGTTATCTGCATTCAATGTATGATTTTGTTTAAGGGAATCTATCCTGGCCGTTGTTATAATTGAGCTACACCCTTGTGTAGTCTCACAATGTATGCTGTATTTTGAGAATAGATAAATGTACCGAGAAAAAGGAGCTAGAAACGTTGGTATCTCGTCATAAAATTCTGTGAATACAACCACATATGCCTGAATTTGGTGGGGACTGGTGATCGGATATGTGAATAACAAAGAGAAAACTTGTGGGAACTTTCTTGCTGGGTTGCTGCACTAGAACCCTACTAGTTGCTTAACTAGAACCCTACTAGTTGCTTACTTTTTTTTGGCCTTCTGCTACATATCAGTTTATGAGGACAATAATTTTTTTGCCCCTTTTGGGCTGCATAAACCTGCCAAGTAGTTCTTCAGTTTTATTGGCAATTTGAGCATCAATGTTAAAAAATGCGGAGGCGGGCTCCCAGAAACAACTTCGCGGGGGTGGGGGCAGGGGCAGGCATCTGTTACACCTTGATGTTATTTCAAGGTATAACAGTCTATTTATTTTAAAACATAGATATTTTTTTGTTTTGTGCTATAGTCTATTTATTTCAAACAACAATATCCCAATAACAGATTTTTTTAAAAAAAGTAAAAGAAACAAAAAAACAACAAGATCCCAATGACTTTCAAATACATATTTGAAGGAATATATACAATATTTGTTTACTTTTTCTCAAAAATTATTTGTTGCATAATATGAAACCATATATTGCACTGGTTCGTCTAGTCAAATTTCTCATAAGTTTTTTGTGGGGTTTGGCCAAATTTCTTAATTTTCTTATAATTAATGTCCTGTCTAACCAAAACATACAACTAACCCTTATTTGTGAGGGTCCCTTGCACATTTAGTATCACATATCATCGAGACTGGTCCTTTTTATCATCAATAATCATTTCAAAATCATGTTTAAACAAATATAAGAAGCCATCTTTCTGAGATAATCAATGGAAATCAAACTCAATTCCTCAAATTAACCATTAATTGCTCTCAATTAACCATCAATTCCATTAGAGCAGCCAAAAATCAGGGATATAATCCCAAAACCTGTAAGCCTTAAGGAGGCTTACACTTCTTTGGGGGCTAGATTGTCCTCCCATAAAACCCTTCCCCCCCTTCTAGGGGGGAAATACTCCTTTTCCCTTGGCCGAGGGCTTTTTCCTCCCTCGGCCACTTTCTTCCAAGGTGCTGCATAGGTGCCTGCCTTGAGGCGACTGCCTAGGAGCAAGGTTTCCCCTAGGCATTTTGGCTGCTTGGCTGCCTAGGCGGCTGCTTAGGTTGCCAGGTGGCTGAGTTTTTGAACAATGTTGAGCATGAAGAGACTTGTTTACGATGTTAATGTGTGGCGTATATCTGTCATACTGTGTAATGTTGTACATCATACAAATAAATAATGCTAACCTGATAGGTGCTTCAACATATTGTAATTCTTGGTCATCAGTTTTCAGCATCTTTGCATTAATGTACTGTGGGGGGTTTCAGTCGATCATCATCAGTGTCAAAGCCTTTTCCTAACTAATTGGGGTCGGCTAGATACTGTAGGTTCAGGATTCATGATAAGTTTTGGCAACATTTTACGTTGACTGCCTACCTAACAGAACCCAGCCCCTTTACTCGGCATGGGTTGGGTTAAAGGAAAGTTTAAGGTCCTCACCTGTTTGTTGATCTGCCTCTAAAATATGTGCATTATGTTTGGCGTGGATTTACTGCTGCACTCAAGAGTTTTCCATATGTCTCTCAGTTAAATACAATTTGTGCTTCCACTGCGACGCAGAAGTTGTAATTCAGCATACCTTTGCCTCCATTTAATGCATTATTGTTGGCAAGGTTTGCGTTAGGAGATAAATAGTGGGCAGCTTTTCTCTAACCAGCTTGCTTGAATCTATATTATGAAGACCAGACTGGGTGGTGAATTGCTAGTCTTCTGTTTCGATTTGCCCTTGAATACAGAACCTCGAAGATCCAGGTTGAGCTGGCACTTAGGCTGGCCGCTATTCGTCTTTTTTTTTTTGCTAAACTCTATCTTCATATAAGTTGGCTGTACTGGCCGGCTGGCCGCTTTTTGTGGTTCAGTGACCTGCCTGTTCCTTTTGTAAACTATCGTGACATTGTATCATTAATTTTCCTTGTAATTGATGCTTGTTTCGTTCTGATTAATACTTTCTTATTGGATGTTTGCAGCCATGGGGAAATATGAATAGGCCACACCATCAGTCCTGGGAATATCCAGGTTTCTATAAGCCTAGAGCTCTCTTGTTTTTCTTCTTTAAACAGTTTACTTGTGTTTATTTATTTGTGATACCTCATATATTGACAAGTTAAGTAAATATCATTCTTGTACAAAGTTGGATTTTCTTATTCTATAATTTCTCTTTAGGCTTGATTTTTGTTTCTTTCGGAAATTTCTTCTTTAGTCTTCTAATATAAAAATAAGCAAATATTTGGATGCGATATTATACTCCATATAGTATAGAATAAAGAAAATGTTTGCAAAAGTCATTCTTTTACTATTGTACTGGTTAACCTTGAGGAACACTCCTTCTGCTATGATTATATGAGGGGGTACATTTACAATCACGTGCTTTTAGAAACTTTTTACAATGGTGGTTATTCTTGGGATGGGTGGTTTTCATTGCAGACATTTAAGGGAAAGAAATTGAACCGCATATCATTTTTCCTGATGCATTTAACAAGCATCAGGAGGAAACACTGGCAGACACATCATCTATATGGTCTGCATGTGTTTCCTTTAAATGTCTGCACATGGGAAACATCGAAAACATGTTCCCTTCAAAATCCGCTCATGAAACACGTTGAAGCATGCAGGTTTGTTGCTGGATAACATAATAGCATTTACTCAGGTATTGCCAAAAGTTATCAGCATTAGGTTTAATGGAATGATCGAAAATCACAGCTGCAAATACATTAGGGAATCCTGGGGTCTCAATATGCTTGAAGCTGTTGCATAAAATTTGTGGTCCTTATTCCCCTTTGCATTGAATGGAAGCATAGTTACTCGTAAAAGAATAAAATCATGTCTTTATTTATGGTTCTCTTTAGAGAGAGGATCAAATTCCATGCATAGACATGTTGACATAGACAGTTGGAAGCCTGTTTATTTCTGTTGTTTCTGTTGCATTCCTTTTTTTATGTTGAAATAAAATTACTTGTTTAAGGCTTCTCCCTTTTATGTCTTGACAGGTGCCAGTGTCCATTATAACAATGAGGAAGATTGGGCTGCCAAAGCCAGGGCATGGGCAGCTGCTAAAGCAGCCATGGAAAACCAACAGGCACAAGCACAGTTCACACCTCTTGGCAAAGTAGAAGATCACACCCATGCTTATCATAACCAAAGCCAGAACGCAACTGAACCCCATTTTGCTGATATCCAACAATCTTCACTACCTGCCCCCAGCCACCATCCTCCACCTGTTGCTCCCCCCATGGATATCCATAGGACTCCCAACCACTTTCAAGACTCCATATCCAATAACTCCGAACCACTCCCTTTGTATGCTTCGAACGAGTCCCTAGCTTTCAGTGCTGCCGATAAAAATTCGGTTCCACTTCCACCATCTTCATCTGCTCCAGTTGCTTCTCAAGGAAATATGGCTTCAATCTCATCAGTTTATCGGCAGGAGGTATCTCTTAATTATTCTTCTTTCCCAGGTATACTTTGTCTTGAACTTTGCATTAGTTTGCAAGTGCTTTTTCCAAGAACTGCTGGTTTCAGCCTTTATTATACATGTGTCATAAGTTCTGGAAAACTTTTTATAATTGTGTAGCTTATTCAGAGATTTGATTGTTAGGATTGGTCTGAATTAGACAGTTCATATGCTTCATTGTCATATCTTTGAGTCTTCCTGATGCCCTTATTTAAGTTGCTGATGTGGTGCATTCTGTTCATCAATATTTGTGTAGGTTGTGTATGTCTATGGTCTGTTTACTTTGGTAAAGTGACACAGTTGTGATATTGACTCAAGTATTGGTGTTTCTGGATGCGTGTTCTGTTTTGGTTTGATTTGGTTATATATGACTGATTGTTTTCACCTTGTTGATTTATTTGACCTGCTGCATTTGAACATTGATGATGTGTGAGTTAGTGATATTTTTTGGCGTTTTCATGCAACTTTTTACCTTTCATTGATTTTTCTTCATTGATGCATTTGAGCATGTCAATAGTTTTTTAAGTGCGGAATTGTTTCACACATTTTGATTTTTAATTGTTTGACCTTTTTATCTTTAATGAGTGACTAAAGCATTTCATACATTGTGAGTATGTCTTACATGACGGACAATGAGTTAAAGACATAATGTCTAATGAGTTAAAGGATCAATAACAACATAATTAAGCATTTGTCTTGAGGGCATGATGGAAAGTAATATCAATCATGTCATAATCTGCATGATCTCAAAATCATCCATTATCGTCCAGGGGTTTGGAGCTTACTGAAATGCCTAATGGATCTATGCTTAGTGATTTATCTTCCATTAGGTAAGAGAGAGATACTTAGAGGAAAACTCTAAGAATTGCGAGGAGCTCTCTTTCCACAGTTATCGTGCCCCTAACTTAGAAAGTGCCTGTGAACATCCCCATGCCTTAAGAGACCTTCCACTTGGATAGGCTTGGTACCAAAGAAGCTGCAATTAAACTATTAGTTTGAAGAACCCTATTGACAAATTGCTCGGTGATGTTTTTGGTTGGTGCATCGGTTCACCTGATGCACATCGATTCTTGTGCCATATCATTCACTTACTGCCTCAGAACCCTTTAATAATAGGGGCCCCTGAGATGATTATGGTCATAATCCTATCTGTGAACATCACCAAGATGTACAAGTATCCCCTGTCTTTGCATCTCGAGTGATACGTCCAAAGCACCCATCCTTTTTCTTGAGAGATCCGTCATGCAGAAAAGCTGACAGCCATCCTACAATGTAAGAGGCAACTGCGTTTAGGATTACCATAAGGTACCAAGCAGTTTGCATGAAAGAACTCCATATGACTTGCAGTGGATGACTGGGTGATGGAAATTCTCGTTCTCCTTGTGCACTTTGGGGAGGTGGAAGCCCGAATTTGGGAGTTGATCCCTAATTAAGATTCTGTTGCAGGGCACCATTGAACTAAATGCCAAAACCCTTGTTGGATTGCGGATGCCCCACACCAATGAGCTGGAGAGAGAGATCAGGCCCACAACCCTAAAGAGCATGGTATAATAGCTCAATCAAAGAGGTTCAACACTATCCTATGTGCAATCATTCTATCTTATCTACCCTGCAAATAACTCACATCATCTTCCAGGTCACTTCTGATGCAAGGTGTGTGAAACCATGAAATTGCCCCAGTGTACTAGGGCAGATCTTTACTGCATCAGTTTCACAGTTTGAGTGAGTTGCTACATGCTTGAAAATAATTAGATGAGTTTATATACCTCTTTAATTTTGCTTGGGGAAAAGTCCAAAATTTAGGAATGAACTTATCGTAATTCACAAAACTCACTGGCTTTTAGATTTAGCTCTTCATTATACATAGAACTTGTGGAAGAATATGAATTTCAGCAATTAGTACTGTCAAATGTAGCTGGCCCTACCTTGCTTTCTGCATTATGTTACAATTATAGTGTAATGTTGCTAATGTTCTGGTAATCAATGTGGAGTCATCTGTGTTCTTAGAGGCATATTTCTAAATTATTCAGGATTTATAGAGATTGTAATGGGGATTGTTATTCTAGTCACATCATTTTTGTCCAAAATAGTTTATTTCTGTGTTACATGTTATGCCTTGTGTATATCTACTGGTGTATCTTCTGTTCTGGATCTTTATGTCCATTAACATGAAACATTTGGCAGTACTCTTTGATATTTCATCGGTTTTCCTGATTTTGTGCTCATTAAATTGATACATGAAAGAATTCAACAAGGGTTTTGAGTGAAATAATTTTGAACTCGGGTAAATTTAGGGAATTACCAGTACGATCTTCAATTTTTAGGGGAGTTTGTCAATTCACTATGGTTGTTTGTTTACCATTGATGGTTCTAGTAACAGGTGTTGAGGAACGTGGAAACACAACTGGAGCATCTCCCTTGCCGGTTTCGCCACCAGTTCAAGTACATAAACCTCAGACCATATTACCTGCTGTGGTTCAATCAGATTTGACAGAACACCCCCATTTTACATATGGGGATCAATCTTCTGTTCCTCTTACAGATCCCAGTGATCAACCTCTGGTTTTTGATAAGAATTTTACTCGCAACCTTGAACAACGTCAGCAAACCAGTTATACACATTCTGAACCAATGGCTTCTATGGGAGGTCCAGACCATGTTCATGCTTGGACTCCTGCAGTTGCTCCAGGGGCTGTCTTTCCTCCTGCTCCCACTGGACCACAGGTGTTACTTCTATACTTTTGGTGCACTGTTTGGTATTGAGATACTTGTTAAGGGAATTATACTATAAGCTCATGATTATGGAAGAACGTAGACTACTGGGGGTCATGACTGTCTAATGAAATGATGGATGGTGATAGAGAGGGATTGGGACCCAACATTGGGGTGTGCCTTGTTCACTGTCGTTATTTGGACAGTGATGAACCCAATGGATTATGGTTTTCCATTGTACATTCAACTATTATGTACTTTCTCTACTTGTTTGGAACTGATTGTTTTCCTTCATAAATACACTACTGCTTATACACTATGGTTTGTTGTGGCCAGTTTGATCCTACTTTTTTGCCACCTGCACATCCTCTTCCTGGGCATCCTCAACAAATGTTTGGAAGGATTCCTGGACCTAACTTTCGTCCTAACATCTCACCAATTAGCTCGCCCTTCGGCTTGAATGCAGGAGCTGCTCTGCCTCCTGGATCTGTTTTTCCAGGAGATGCCAATGGAACATTTAGTACTTCTGAACGTCCCAAGAAGGTAAGAAGCCCTCCTCTTCTTTATCACTCTTTAATATTTAATCACTTACTGAAAAAAATAGAATACGTGCTCTAGGTAAGAATTTTTGTAACTTCCCAATATGTGCAGGCTTCAGTACCTAATTGGCTCAGGGAGGAAATAATGAAGAAGAAAGCTGCTGTTATGGCGAGTTCTGTTCAGGACCCCTCCTCCGAGCTCTCTGTTCATACTAGTGGAGATGAAGATAAATCTCTTGGTAAAGTTGATCAGGCGGATAGCAAAAGCATTGATTCTGCACGATCAACCGAGGATGAAGATGATGAAGAGGTCTGTTGTCCTTTTTTCTATGCGGAAACACTAGTGTGTAGTGTGTGAGTGCGTGGGAAGCCACATGTGTGTGCATGCGTTCCCTTGGGTGCCTGTATGTGGGCATGTGTGTACTGGCTGCCTGGCATGTGCAATGGTATAGGTCGGGCGCCTTAGATTGAAATTGGTTGGTCTGGATGGCAGATTCTGCATGTTAGTATTCTTTTTCTCCTTTGATTTTTCATAGGAGTCTGGTATGTGTGTGTGATTTAGCCACACCAAATGAAAAAGAACTACACAAACAAGTTGGCTAGAATGTGTCTGCCATTTTCATTTACTAATGACCGATCTACATCGGTTGCCGCACTTCAATTGGGCTGTCCGACCTATACTTTCCCGAGGATGGATGGCTCATAAAGCCTTCATCATATGTGTGTTGCACACTTGCGCATGTGCGTGCTCGGTCAGGACCATGCGCTTTGGGACATGCATGTGGACATGCGCATGTGCGCAATTGAATATGGGTGTGGCTCTGTGTATGTCTGTAGCATTTACATGTATTTTCTTCAGTGCTTGCATATATTTCCTTATAAATCGTTGTCTGGGGGTTATTGAGTTGTTCTTATATGCAATCTTAATATATCAATGATAGACTTCTGGCTTTGGATAGTGAAATTCAACATTTATGTGAGAAATGGTCAATGTATTGCACACACTTTACGACTAGTGATATTGTAATTTGAATCAGTAGTCTTTACTAGTGTAAGATTCAAGCAATATCTTGTTTCATAGGTGTTTCTTTTGGATTTAACATTTACGAAACATTTACAGTTCTAGATCTATTTTTAGAAATGGTCAATGCTTCTCTCTTTTATCTTTATTATTCTCACTAGCCTTGAGATATATGAAAAATTTACTTAGTGAGTGCATTCAGAGGGAGATGCATACAATGAAGGAAAGGACGATAAGATATACTCTTGTGTGTGAGGGAGGGAGGGAGGGAGGGAGACTTCCATTGGTTATTAAAATGTTCGAAACAATTTACTTTTTATTCAATGATCTCCTTAGAAAAGCTCTTCAGATAATATCATTATAGAATTCTTTCCTGATAACTTAGCTGTCATTTATAAGTTTAATTTTTGTTATTTCGATATATCAATACTTTCCTAATGAAAAGAGTTCTCTCAATAATATCAGTGGTTGGCCCCGAAAGAGGGGGGGGGGTGTTGGTTGGGGGGAAACATGCATAATAGCTTTAAGTTGGTACTTTGTCACCACCAAGAAGTAGTGTTCTGAAACCCGGCTTGGCAGCAGATTTGGCTGAGCCAAGTTCTCAGATTACTGTGTTCAGGCTTGGTCGAGCCTTGCTTGAGTCAAGACCACGCCCAAAAAGGCCCTAGAAATTCTGAAAATTTCAGGAAAAATCCCAGAAATAAGATAAATTAAATCTAAAATGTCATACAAGAAAAGCGTATATAAACCATGGGATATAGAAAAAAAATCAAGGTTATGGCTTGAAAAGCAATTAGAAAAATCCAAAACATGGGAAAATAAGAAAAATCATAAAAACATTGTAAAAACAAAAAGTATTTGTTTTTATACAAATTTAATTATAATCAATCATAGTTGACCAAGAAATAATCAATTGCATGAGTATTTTTTTTGGGAAAAATGAAATTTATCTGAAATTTTGAGGTTGATCATCCAATCTTTGCACTTGGTGCAGATCAATGCCTCCAATCCTTGTCAAAGCTTCCCAACACAAACCAAACCAGAAGCCCCAAACCAAATTTGGGTTTGATCTAGGAGATCCTAGCACTTGAATATTGAATCCGAATTTCAAATCTCTGTAATACTAAAATTTTGAGGGTTTTTGTGAAAACTAAGCCTATGGTTAGATGAAGAGCACAAAAATAAGTGCAGGAATCAAATTTTATCGAAGATCAACCATAGATTGTTTATAGAAATCTGGTGTATGACACTCGGTGAGTACTGGAGTGAACAAACTTGGCAAATGAGTCTGAGTGTGTATGATACCTATGCAAGTTGCAATGGTGCTCCGCCAAGCTCTGCACAAGGCACCCTTAGGTACTGTGCTCCAGGCTCGACAGACTGTAGGGCTTGAGTGAGTCCGAGTCAACTTGGGTGAGTTTTTGAACATTGCCAAGAAAGAGATACAAGAGTGAGTGGCATGGGCCCTCCATATTTGCTAGTGAGCCCTTTGGTGAAAATGTCTGCAATCTGATTTGTGGTGCCAATATAATCTGTTCAAATAGCCTATGCTTCTATCTTCTTGCACAAAAATGATAATCAATTTTTAAGCGCTTAGTGGTCATGAAAAATAGGATTAGCTGCAATAACAATTGCACTTCGATTATCACAACAGATGGTATTACTTGCAGCCAAGTGATGGAGTCGTGTTTTGTATCCCCAAAATCTCAGATACCATACTCGCTGATGCCCTATATTCATCCTCCTTAATTGATTGTACACGGACTTTGTTTCTTACTCCTCAACATATCAAGTTTCTTCCTAAATAATCACAATACCTTGAGACTAACTTGCAAATCAAGATCTTCTGCCTACTTGTCACTGGAGTAGGCAGTGTTGAACCCAACATGTACTTTATCTATGTGTTTTTTCAGGTACATAATGCCTTGATTAATGATCATTTGCACGTATCGTATTATGCGCGGGTACATGCATAAACTGGCATAACTAATTTTCCATGAGGCCTATTTGGGGATGAGTGATGGTGAGGTACTGAAGTGTGCTTGCCATGCTCTGGTTCTTTGATAGATTGTTCTCAATTCACTTTTAATCTTTTGTTGCTGTTGGAGTGGTTGATGATCTTCAAGGAAACATATTAGTGTGCTCAAGTAAAATCATGTGCATATTTATGTTGAGATGATAGTTGATCATTTTGAGTGTGATCCACGTCTATCCTCTAAAGGTATCGTAACTATTCCAAACCTCTCATCTAAAATCTGTCATGAAGGAATCTGTTGATGTCGGCAATAAGATCTGAAGAGCTTCCTGTATTGAGGATGTCCTCGACATACAGGAGGATGATCACAACAATACCTCTGATGCTTTTGCCTTCCGTGGATGAAAAAACAATGGTCAACTGCGGTCTTCATGAATAATTTTTTCTTGTATGATAAAAACTTTGAAACCAAATATGAGGTACTTGCTTCAATCCATAGATGGATCTCATCAACTTATGTACTTAGAAGGATCCTTCTCACTCAAGCACAGAGGGCTGCTCCATGTCTACCTCAGCTTTTAACTCTCTGTGAAGAAATACATTCTTCTCGTTGAGTCGGAAAAAAGGCCAATCATATGCCAAAGTAAGGGATAAAGCTACTGAAATGCATTCGAGCGTTGAATTGATCTGTACTTTCATCCAACTTGTACTTTATGTTGTATGCCCATTTCTTGACCACAATATTCTATTTAGAATGCCTCTTCACAACTCTCCCGTGCTGTTCAAGAACACAAATTTTATTCTTTGGCCATAGCTCCCACCCACTTCGGGGTGTTTTTTGCTACATGATAGTTGGCAGGCTCCTTTAGTTTAAGAGCTTCATGTGGAAAATGCTTGTTTATTGTATGTGAAGTTTTCATGGAAAAGTGTTTTGTGAGTCAATGGACTGAGGACTCACTAGCCCACTGACTCACAAACGTCTATCTTTAAGATGAACCTTCACATCTAAAGATTCCTATCCAATGGATAGGAAAAAAATACGAAAAGTGTTTTAAATTTTTATTTTCTTTTTCATATTCATGATCATCATATTGTAGATCATGGATCTCTACAAATTGGATCCAAGATCCATATAAAAAATAGGTATTAGAGGGAGCCTGCACAAAAATAGTATGAGTCGGGGGACTCATAAAATCTGGGTCCAGTTTTCATAGCCCATCGATTGATCTTTAGGATGACACATACAGGTAGGTCTGTGCATGCCTTGATTTGTTGCACTATCTTCATTAGTTGTGGGTGCTTCTCCATGTCTAGTGTGCTTTCCTCCTGAATCATCACTTGTATTTTAAGCGTTATAATCTTGCTCCACCGTTAATTTGTGTATTTTCAACTTGCTGCCCTGTTATTCCAGCCTACTTGCTAACTATGTTTCAATCTTTTGACTAGTGTTTCGTCTATTATAAACAGTCTCCTTTCTGGTTGCAATGTGAGCTGCCATCAGGCTTTCATATATGATAAATGATTACCTCATAGGGCGCAGCATTAGGCTGGTCATTAAATGGAGTGTTCAAAATATTCACTAACATGATGAGGCAGCTCTTATCAGTGTTGCTAAGTCGATGAGTATCGTTAGGAGCATGCCTAAATAAGATAATTTCATCTCTCATTACAGATTCTTGAGTGTGATGAGCTGTACCCTTATTGGAATTTCTTCTCCTCGAAAGGTGATACCCTTTGGTGTATTACACCATCCTCATTTTATCAAAAGAAACATGGCAGGAGATGAGGGCATAGTTAAGTCTAGGGCTATAACAACAGTAGCCCTTATAGTCACCTTCATACCCCATAAAGATGCACACTTCCAATGTTAGACAGAGTTTCTTCCTTTGACTCTTGTCCATATGGACGAACTGATAACGTCTGGAAAATAAAAAAATGAAATAATTGATACTTATAAAACATATCATAAGGAGTTTGGCCATTCAAACCATATGTGGGTGGTCAGTTTACGACATAAACAGTTGTGTCGAAGGCTTCGGTCCATAAATACATTGGCACTCCGCTAGAGAACAACAAGGAAAGGGCAACCTCACGGATATGGTGATGTTTTACTCCACGAATCCATTTTATTTGTGCAGTATGCCTAAACAAAATTTATAGAGTATTTCCTCAAAAAAAAAATGAAATTTGTAGAGTACGGATTTGTTGCTCTAACCTGTTATTCCTTAAGTGGTTTTTTTTTTTTTGAGTGAATATAACTATTCTTTAAGTGGTTCTTAAAAACATGAGACAAGAACTCAAACGTTGACATCACCATTTATTTGGAATGAAGACATCAGTAATGGAAGCTTCCTGGATTTATCATCCAAGACTTATAAATAAGAAATGCCTTTGGCTTTCTCCTCTATTTAATGTGTTCCCCGACCACGGATCCTTCTAGATAACAAAAACTATGTAAATACAAAATTTGACTTAATTGAGCGTATAAAATACGGTGCACTTGATTCTGTGGACCAACAAGCCATTATTTAGAAGGATAATACCCATTTAGTTATTCACCCAAAAAAAAGGACCCATGTAGGTATTTACAAGGACATTTCTTACATGAATGATGATGGGTAGTGAGGGTCTGTCTTCGGTCGATATGGAATCACTACTGAATAAGGGGTAATAGATAATTTATCGGCATTACTTGTGGCATGGTTGGCTGCCCCATTATAACTCATCCATGATTGATCACTGTCCATTAAAGTGTTAAGGGCAGCAGCTTGGTCTTCCTTGTTCAAGCATTCCTCCTCTTGATTATAGCAATAATAGCAATTCACGGGGATGCAGTTTTGGTGACCTCAAGTTTGATAGGTCGCACCATTATTTCCAACAGTGGTATTTTGTTGAAAATTACAAGGTGTAGGAAGAAGACCACATCATTGGTTAGGTTCGGCCTCCTCTTCCTCCATTATAAGATGGAGGGTTGCTGGTTGTGACTGTCACAGTAACACATCATGAGGATCATAGTCTCGTTAGCCTCGCTGGTTTGTTGTAGAAGAGGGGTTCTCTTGTAAAAGTAGCAAGAGGCACAATTTTGAAAAGGTCAGGACTGGAGGCTTGGTGACAACCAAGATCACAAACGTCCTGTATCCTTCCTTCAAACCAGTTAGTGCATAATATACTTTGTCTTCGTCACTAATTGGTTCTTAAATGATGGAAAGCTGATCATAAAGCCCCTTGATTTTGTTAGGTTCAGTGCTTGAAAATCGCTGATCCGGATCGGAAATTACCCGAGAGCTTGGTTGTTCTATATAAATTTTATCACAAAGCTCAAATGGCTAGAGTTTAGAGGTGCAAACCCCTGATGCTTTTCCTTTACCTTCTTTTTTTTTTAAAATATAGATACCATATATTATATAGTTTTGAATGTTAAGGAAAAAAGGAGAATTCGAACCTCCGATCTTGTGGTTGCAAGCACAAGGTCTAGCCAACTGAAGTATTCAAGTTATCTGATATGGTGTTATGTTTTATATATACATCATTCTTTTTCTTTTCTTTCTTTTTTTTTTGGGCCGGATTGCCAATCTAGCCGATCGGCTGATCCGTGTTGCCGATCCGGCCGATGTGGATCAGGATCAGTGGGGGGGGGGATCGACCCCACTGATCTGGTTTTTAAAACACTGGTTGGGATATCTCAGAATTGCAATTCGTTTTTTGTTGCATTGCTGGAATGAAAGCCTCAAAGGCATCATGAAGAGCCTTCCAAAAATCTGCAGTAAAGGGCATTGAAATAACTTGTAGAATTTCTTTTGAAAGAGTTGCATTGATCCTCCCAATGAGTTGCAAGTCTTGGCACCCATTCTTCACAAGAGAGGTTTGTGGAAACAACTTTCATTGTCTTCGCGTTATCACCAATCTCTTGTATCATTACGAGTTTGAAAGAGGTCCTGAAGATGTATCTAGGTGTCTTGTAACATGTTGGCCACCGATGAAGGGTTCAATGAGGCCCTTCTAGATTATGAAATTGGATGAGGTCAACTTGGTGGTGACCATAGAAAATGGATGAGAGGAAGACATTATTGTACAGTAGAGAATGAGGATTGTAAATAGTTACTGGAGTCTCCTAATCTAGATGTTGATTCTGCTCCTGGACCTCGCTTTAGTGCTCCTGAATCTCCATCGGATCTCGATCCTCACTTTCCAGGGATCACTCCCAGCAACTCGAAGTGGCAACAAGAGGCCAAGAAGATATTTATTTGGATTTTAGGTGTGATTATAATCTTTCTTTCTCTCTGTCTAATCCTTTGGGATGCTGTAAAAATGCAAATAAAGTATCTTGGTATGCTTTTGGTTGTTGTAAACTTTGAAATTGTATATAAAGTAGTTTTTCTATCAAAAAATTAGCTCCCTTGAGTTGCTTTGGTTATTCCGATGTGCTTCATTGTAAGATCGTTTTTATTGTAATTTGTGGGATTACTGTTACAGAAACTACACCTCAAAGGTATATAAAAGGAAAAAGGAAAAAGTTTATATAAGTGTGAGCATCTAAACAATCAAATTAAGGCGCACGTCAAAAATTTCACTCGAAGAGGTGGTTTTGATGCCCAAAAATCCTCAAATTGATCATCTTGACCTCAAGATGCATGGAGATGAGAAAAAAATGGATTTCTAGTTTTGGAAATAGTGCATCTTGTAATGCCTTTTTGGACCTTCAGTTTTCAAGATTTCATAGATCTGCTTGATTTAAACTAATTTTTTAAGCTTTAAAATTTTTAATTAGAGATGAAAATAAATTTTAAGGCTATCAGAATGATTTCCAGTATTTAAACTACATTTCTAGACACTATTTGAAGGTGTGCCTTACTTTGATTGTGTAGAGCCTCGGCCTTATACAAACCGTGCCCATATAAAAATATTATTGATTATTTAAGTAAAATTTAATGGAACAATTACTTTTTAGTTGCCCATTTTGTGTGCCCACTATTTATTGTATTTTATAAAATTACTTGGATTTTTTAACTTTTAATAAAATTTAAAATTTTTCAAAATTTTCATTTATTGATTTTAAAAATTGTATGGAATGTGCTTCTAATCTAGGAAGCTTTTTGCGTGTGTCGAGCTGTTGCATCCACTGCCACCCCCTCCCTCTCTCTCAATTCTGGTATTAAAGTATGTTAGAAGGAAGAACGGATGAATAAAGTGGTATAATGGAGAAAAAAAGGGTATGGAAAATTGTTAGGTTGCTGATAAGAAATGCTCCAGACTTGGAGATATGGGCTGTAAAGTTTCAGTAGAAAGTAGGCTTTTTGAGTATAAGGAAGTGAGAAAGTAGGATTTTCGAGGAATCTTAGTTAGAAAGGAGCATAGGGTGAGATAGGGCAAGATCCCTCCCTTTTTTTTGTCTTTATTTTTTATATACAGGGTGTTGGGGACCGAGACATTACGGTTATGAAAGAGATTTGGGTGCTGACTTGAGATATAAAGAAAGAAAAAATCAGGTTAAGGGCAAGAGTGAGATTAGAGTTCAGAGAGAGAGAGGGACCCACACACACACACGTAGGGTTGGAGATATTGAGTTGATTGGAGATTAAGAAAGATTTTGAATTTTTGAGAAAAGGAAATTTAAGATTTCGAATTAATTGTGCCCTAGAGAGAGAGCTTGGTTCTGGTGGAAAGTAGGAAGTTGCAAAAAGGATTCAAACAAGAAAGAGTGGTGTGGATCCCCCCAATCAGTATGTCGGGTTTGCATTTTCATTCTGTGTTTAAATATTACAGGACTTGATGTATGTACAATTACGTAAATGTCCTGAACATCCAGGTATATTACATTGTGAAGCAAAATAACAAATAATAATAATATCAATGCCCTAACATAGCTGATAATATCTTGATAATCTAGCTATCGCTAAGTTTTTACTCTTTCTTGTGAAGATAAAGTGTCAGGGCTTCTAATGTCTCTCACATTGCAGGAAGAAGTGGAAGCAGCAAGAACAGCTGCAATCAACCAAGAAATCAAGCATGTATTGACTGAAGTACTCCTAAAGGTTTGTAACTTGGAACTGTTAATCTTAACCTCCAGATTTTCGCGAACTCCTTGATTCTAATCAATCTTCTTAAGAGCAGGTGACTGGTGAACTTTTTGATGAAATTGCAACTGAAGTTTTAGAAGAAAGTGATCTGATTGTGGAAGGTAAGGTTCTTGTCTACTTTGCTATGCGATCTTTACTTTTACATCGGAACGCTTGTTATAATCTGATGCTTTATGATTTATGGTACTCCAAAGTGGCATCGACTCTAATGATAGATGATGGAGATTATATTGGAGCCTACTGAAATATCGACCCATGCGAAGTTAATGTCTACTGTCTGTCATTGAAAATAAACGTGGATGCCCCTTTGCACTGCTGTAGACCATTTTCCCCATGAACCATGGATACTAATTGTATACCATTTCTAAGGATTCTCTTTGGTGATCACATTTCATACTTCATTCTTCAGTTGAGCATTCCAATATTTCACGAAAAGATGAAGTATTACCACCTGTGATTCCAACACCCAAGGCATCAGCCAGGGTTCTTGTTCCTGTTGAAGCTAAGGATGGTGGAGAAGAAGAAGCTAGTGAAAGGTCTGGTTCTAGTGGACCTGCTGGAGATGTTCTCGGTCTCTCAAATTATGCTTCAGATGATGATGAAGAAGCCGAGAGCTCAGAGCAGGTAACCTTGCATACAAATTCTGCTAGCCAGCTGTTAAATGGTGAAGATCGACTAAATTCACTAGTTTATTTTGAGAGACCCAATAGAGGGATAAAGGATTCAGGTCATGATGTGAGTGGTGTTGGAGATCTTAACGATAGGACAAAAGAGGTGCCCTCAGATGGTGAGAAAGAAATGAGAACTGAGATTGAAAGGGTTCCTGATGAAAAAGGGTTTTCTTATGGAAACAGTGAAAGGATAAGCACCATTACTGGTGGCCATGAAGTGGGTTCTCTGCAGGGAAGTGCCGATACACCTAAGGTAAAGGAAAAAGTAGGAGGAAACGCTCATATGAACTTTGAAATTGTAGGTAGGGGTTCTGAATCTTCTAGAACAGGAATAAATGATTTACTAGATGGTGATGGTAGAAAGAAAACAAATAAGAGCAATGATGAAGAATCAAAGAGGACTGTTTGTCTTGTTAGCAGTGATTATGGTGGAGACGTTGAAGCTGGGAACTCCAGGGCTACTGAGAAGCATTCAAGTTTTAGTGATAATCGGAGAGGGGATGATAGGGATGTGAGGAAAGGAAGGGTGGAGGAGAGGGACATAGTGAAGGAAAAGGAGAAAGAGAGAAAAGATAAAGTGAAGGAAAAGGAGATAAATAGAGGGGATAAAGTGAGAGAAAAGGAGAGAGACAGAGGGGATAAAATGAGGGAAAAGGAGAGGGATAAAGGGGATAACATGAGGGAAAAGGGGAGAGAGAGAGTGGAGAGAGTGAAGGAATGTGAAAAGGACGAAAAGGAAACTGTGAAGCGTAAAAGGGACATATCAAAGGAGGAAAGTATCATGAAAAGTGAGCATGGAAGGGACAACAGAGATGGGGGAGTAAAACATGGTGATCGTGGGAGTTCTCATAAGCACAAGAGGCACCGTTCTTCCTCGATTAGCGGTAGAGGTAAAAATAGCAGGGAAAGAGACAACTCATCTCCCAGTCGTACTAGCGGAACAGATGTTGAAGCTTCAGACAATTCGAGGCATAGGTATACTTGTGAAACTTCTCGTGTCCTTTTATATATATATATATATATATATTTTTGACTTCTCATATCTCTCGACTTACGCCCAAAAATGTCTTTTTTTTGGGGATTTTTTGATTCCATAATTTGGACTTTCATTAGATGGTTTAATTATTTCCAGGAGGGTCCCATCAAAGAAACACAGCTTGTCACCTTCTCCTGTCAGGTCGAGGAAGAGGTATCAATGGTCTTGTTGCAAGAATTATGTTTTTCTGAATTTTGATGGCCTTGTGATATTGCTGATAGATTGGCAATTAGGATATACAATGGGTTGAAGTTTGCCTTTTCTCTGTTATTTAATATTCATGCTCCTTTTGTTCTTTGAGTATCAAGGGCTTTTGGTGGGCTGTGTTTCTTGTTGGTCTTCTATGAAACATAACCACATGTGCTGGAGTTTCTAGGCCAGGCCAATGGTAACAGCTGGGTTCGCCAGGCCAATGGCAATAGCTCGGTTGGCATCAAAGTCAGATTTTGATTATGAGATTAGTATTAGAAACAATAGAAACACAACTTCCTCTGACAGCCTATCAAAACTATCTATTCACGTAGTTTCCATTTTTCATACCCTAAAAAGACTCATCATGGAAATAGTTTACAAACCCTAAACAGGTTTAAATTTGAAATTTAAATCTACTGATTTATCAAACTAGATTCCCGTATCGTTATTCCTCCCACCCAGCCTTCAATCTATTGACCTCTCTGGTGTTCTCTCAGTTCTGCTTGGTGTGCCTTCCTCCAAGCTTTGTTGTTGAAAGCACAGGCTTCAGTCATGCTCATGTGCCTCTCTCCAGGCTTTGTTGTTGAAAGTACAGGTTTTAGTAGTGCTCTCTGTGTCTCTATACACACATTGAAGTAAAGGCACACGTAGATGGATAATTTCTTGCACCAGAGGTGGACATCTTTTTGTTGGTCTCCATTTTTTAATCAATTTATAACAAAACTTCTTAAACTTTGAATGGAGAGAGTTAAACGTTTCTTAATTTGTAGGATTACTCATAAGATACTTTTGCGGGGTGGTTTTGTTGTCAATACTTGGAAATAAATATACTAGAGGAAATTTTAAATGTAGGTACTTAATTTTGTCTGTGTAGCCCTGGGTTGATTGTGTTTGACCTTTGAAATAAATACTTCTCTTTATTGTTTTAGCCTAGAAAAGTGATGGGCACAGTTCTGGGCTTCATCAATTTTGATGGGCTGTGATTGGACCCAAATGCTAGCGGCTATCATGGGTTTGAGTCTTCAAAATTTCTGATAGACTGGCTTAGATCTGATTTTGCAAGGTTGACTTGAGTACTTCTCTCTACGCTACATGTGGACTAGTCATATAGGACATGTGGACTATTCAAATATGTATTGCTTTGAAGCTGCCCATCCTATATGAATAGTCTTTTCCTTTGATGAGGAATGCTATGGTTAGCACAAGTTCTATGAGGGGGAGATACTTTCTGAAAAAATCAACCTTCTGAAATGTATTGACCTTATGTCTCCCCTTCACTTTAGAATTGTACCTTATTTATCGAGGCTTATTATAAAGAGACTGATGAATTAGTTATAGGCGAAATAAATAAAAGAATTCTTGTTCCCATGTGAAATGGGCTGTGCATGTGCATGTATCTAGAATTCAAATATGATAGGATCAATCAGTTGGGCAGGCAGAGAATGATCAGATGCTGTGTGCATCTGTGTCTGTGCTTGCTTGTGTTGTTTTGAATAGATTAGGGAGGGGGACAGAGTGTGTGTTTGTGTCAGATGCTGGCACTCTGTTCACATCCAGATTGCGATGTATTTTTAAAAAGTGTGATGGTTGTGCTGTTGTATGAAATCATGCTGGATAACGGAAATTTGACAACTTGGGATTACCACAGTATTTTGTGATTCATGGACTTTTTGTATACTGGGTACTGATCATTTTAGTGGTAAATGTAATATCTTGAGTATGTGCCGTATAGATTATCATTGTGGTAAATGTAGCCTCTTTAACATTTTAGTTGTGTAGGCTTTTAGCATAGATTTAACTAGTATTCATGCTCTGTGTGATACAAAGGCACGCACTTGAGGGAAAAAGAGGGTTTAACTATTTGAAATAAAATACCTTGGATAAAAACTATATTTTTAGGAAATCAATAAAAGCGCACTATCCCCCCCCCCCCAAACAAAAATAAATAAAAATAAAAAAAGAAAAATATCTCAGTACACCCTAATTTGATATATCATTTCTAAGTAGACCCACATATTTGAAAACTATCGTGCGGCATTAGTTTTTCCGAAATCCTATCTTCTAACCCCCCAACCCCATTTGACCTTATTTTATAATATATTTTATCCCAAACAATTTTTAAAATGACACTAAAAAATCTTTCATCCTCTCTCTTGCATACTCTCTCCCCCGCCCCAAACTCTCTCTCTCTCTCCTTTCTTCTCTCGCCTCCAAACCCTCTCTCCTTTCAGAGCATCTCTCCACTCCCCCATTGCCCCAAAACCCTCGCTCCTTCGAGAGAATTAACTGAGAATAGAAGTGGAAATTGTTTGGCTCCTTCAGGCTGAGACACATGAGGCGAGAAATGAAGTCCCCAAGGCTGCTATGGTGAAATCGTTTGCTCCATTTGAAATAAGTGTTCTAATCAAACCAATAATTCTATGAAGCTCTGACTCTGTCCTAAAAAACCTGATTGAATCCAAAGCAATATACAGAGCATCATTCAGCCTTGGCATATCAGCCAAAGGGATCAAACTCTCTGCAAATTCCCAGTTGACTTCCTTCTAAGATCTGTCCTTTCATTTTTACTTGTCCTCAGGTCATTAGAGCTCTTACTCACAGCATGCATCTCTGAATTTTCACCACAAACTCTCTAAAATTTATCTGATTGCCTTTCCTTGCTACCCATCTTAGAGTTTTCTCTACAAACCCTCTAAATTTGTTGAAGCACTTAAGCTCGCTACCCATCTCAGATTTCTCCCTACAAACCCCTTTAAATTTGTCAAGACTATTATTGCTATACCCACATCAAAATTCTCACCACAAACCTCTCTAAATATGTTAGAATTCTTATCAATAGAATCATCTCAGAATTTTCTTCACAAACCTCACTAAATCTATCATAAGTGCTTACACTGCTGCTACATTCCCCGTTGAAATCCTTGTTGCACCTTTGCCAACATGACCCAAACCAGAGTTCTCGCCACTCAAGTCATGACACAGTAACTTGACTCCACCCACATCTTATTGGTGCATGAACTCATCTTCCATGGGTTCACTGTTCAATTTGTAACTAGAATCTTCATCCATGAAAATGAAGATTTGGGTTCACTCTTCAACCGCTTCACTCTTATTGTTGATACCCTTATCAGAGTTAATGCTCTAAAAGGAGAGAGGGTTTGGATTCAAGAGGTGAGACAGGGTTTGGGGGCGAGAGGAGAGAGAGAGCGGTTGGGGACAGAGAGGGTTTGGGGGTGAGAGGAGAGAGAGGGGTTAAGGCAGAGAGAGAGAAGGGGATTTGGGGTGAGAGGAGAGAGATGTTGGCGGAGTGGCTAGATAGAGGGGTTAGGGCAGGGAGAGAGTATGTGAAAGAGATTAAAGGTGAAAGAATTTAACGTCATTTCCGATATTGTTTGGGATGAAATTGTGTTATAAAATTAGGTCAAATGGGTTTGGGGGGTTAGAAGATAGATTTTTTGAAAAACTAATGCAGCTAGATAGCTTTCAAATATGAAGGTCTACTAAGAAATGGTGCATCGATTTAGGATGTAGTGAGATATTTTCCCAATAAAAAAAAGAAAAGAAAAAAAAAGAAAAAAAAATAGAAGTGGTATTAAGGAGCGTTTTTCTCAAAAATCCATTTACTTGGATGAGTGTATAATAGAACAGTTTTTTTCCTTCAAAAAATAGTGGCACGTAGGCATATACAAATTTAAAGTGAGATATAAAAGTTATTTCTTATGGAATTAAGTCTGTAAACTGAAGGTCTAGGGAATGGGGTCAGGGCATGTGTGGTTAGTGGAGCAGGTGCCTCGTCTTAATGTCCTAGGCTCCATTCCCACTGTTAACACTTCAAAAACAAAGTGTCATTTAACCGGGGCGCTTGTGAACGTTGTCTGATTCCCGCCCCCCCACCCCACCCCACCCCACCCCCCATTACCCTGAAAAGAAAAAAAAAGTTTTAATATTATGGATCATTCAAAATTGCAGTTGCCTCTCTTTTCTATGTTTTTACTAGTCAATTCACTCTTGATTTCAATTTCACTTGATTCTTAACTTGTCTTATAAACCTGGCACCATGTATTGGTGGGTTGTTGGTTTTATTCAACTCTGATGTCTTTGATAATGAGGGCATGTTAAGGTGTCTGCTTTGAGCTTCTTTCTCCCTCCCTCCCTCTCTCTCTCTCTCTCTCTCTCTCTCTACTATATATATTACTTACTTACTTACTTACTATAGTAGTTGTCGTAGTGTACGTACTTACTTACTACGTAGTAGGTAGGTAGGTGGTTACGTTCG